TGGCTGCTGGTAATGTCATTTATTGAACTAGAGGAATAGATTTTAAAGGGAAGAGAATCAGTTGAACATTCAGGAGGAAATACTCAGTTGGCAATTAGCTAAACCCATATAAGACTTAAAGTTAAAAGTCTAGTCTGTAACAACAGATTTACTGGTTAAAAACAATATGCATTTATGGAATTACCTAACCATTTTGTTAGTGAAATCATACAGTAAACATTTAATATGTGGCACCCATAGCTCACTGGGTAGACAGGTTCACCCATGCTGCCAGGTTCGAACCTGGTTCAGGCCAGCTGAACAACAATGACAACTGCAACAAAAAAATAGCAGAGCGTTGTGGCAGGTAGCCTGTAGTCCCAGCTACTTGGGAGGCTGAGGCAAGAGAATCGCTTAAGCCCAAGTCTGAGAATTTGAGGTTGCTGTGAGCTGTGATGCCATAGCACTCTCCCAAGGGCAACATAGTGAGACTGTCTCCAAAAAAAAAAAAAAAAGTGGTATGTGCCAGGCAATTGTTCTAAATCCTTAACATATTAACTCATTTAATCTTTACAACTCTATGAGGAAGAGACCTATAGGCAGAACCTTTCCTGGAAAGTCTATAGGAAGCAGAAGAGGTAGTTAGGATAACCAACATGGAAAACCAAGTGAGTTTTAAGATGGCTGAGGCACAAGATCACATGGAAAACTGAAGTGCCTATTTAATTTGACAATTGGGTTATTAAAGCATTCACTGACAATTTTTAAAATTATTTATTTATTTACTTACTTGAGACAGAGTCTCACTCTGGTACCCTGAGTGTCATGGCATCATAGCTCACAGCAACCTCAAGCTCTTAGGCTCAAGTGATTCTCTTGCCTCAGTTTTTCTATTTTTAGTAGAGACAGGGTCTTGCTGTTGCTCAGACTAGTCTTGAACTCCTGAACTCAAGCAATCTACCCACTTAGGCCTCCCAGAGTGCTGGGATTACAGGAGTGAGCCGGGCCACACCTATAGCTCAAGGAGCAGGGCACCAGCCCCATATACCAGAGGTGGCAGGTTCAAACCTGGCCCTAGCCAAAACAAAACAAAACAAAACAAAAAAGGAGTGAGCCACTGCACCCAGCCTTTTATTTTTAAAAATTGAGACAGAGTCTCACTATGTTGCTCAGGGTGATCTCAGACTCCTGGGCTCAAGTAGTCCTCTCACCTCAGCCTCCAGAATAGCTGAGATTACAGGTGCACACCCCTATAGCTTGCTGAGAACTGTTTCTAAGCCTGAACTCAGACTATAGGCTATTAGCTGAAGAAAAGAGACACAACGATAGATTGGCTGTTAATTGTGGGAACGAGGAGACTAACGAGGTGTGAAGGGGAGACGCTGAGTACAGGAGGAAGGGTACCCCCTTCCTGAGATAGACAGTAAAAATGGATACGGGACAGTACATAAATCCTCTGTAGCCAGGGGTACAGAAATGGACAGAGTTCACAGGTCATGACCACGTTTCTCTGTAAAAGAAGCATACTGATCATTTGGTGAGAATGGTGGTGAAGGCTGGAATTGTTGCTAGAAAATGACCTAAAGAATAGTTTGGAGGGACTGAAACTAAAAGCTGTAATATTAAGGTGGCAGGCTGTGGGGGGAGAGCCATACCATTGCTAATATCAATATGCAACAGCATTCTGGATAGTATATACTATCAACATGTTAGATGTATTTATTCTGAAGACAGAAATTTCTAGTACCGTGATGGAGGCATGCAGGGTAGGCCTGCCTAAACCTAGTTAGAACCAATTAAGAATAGAATACAACATAGAAGGAAACTACATGTATTCACTTAAAATTTAAGTGTCTTCAAATGTCCTCCATAGATTCTTGCAAATGTTACCAAAATCAGTTACTATCTGATGTGACTGTCTAATATGCTCAGCACTTGGAAAGAGGGGCGTGCATGTCATAAAACATAATCTTTGCCCTCAGAGAGTATTATGAAAGACATCACTAAACAAATGAAACCATGGTGCAAACAACAAGATATAAATGCCAAATATAGTTATCAACTTTGAAAGCTGGAATATTTAGGAAGTGTTTTAAAAGAAGGTAGATTTTTTTTTTTCTGAGACAGAGCCTCAAGCTTTCACCCTGGGTAGAGTACTGTGGCATCACAGTTCACAGCAACTTCTAGCTCCTGAGCTCCAGAGATTCACCTGTCTCCGCCTCCCAAGTAGCTGGACCTACAGGTGCCTGCCACAACGCCCAGCTATATTTTTGGTTGCAGCCATCGT